AAAAAAACTTCGATTATTTCTTCGAAAATCTTGTGACCTCTTATTGTGCTCAGATTGATATTTAAAAAGCGATTACGTAACTGATTTTGTGGCGATACTAGGCGCGTTCATAATACCCCTTCGTCATAATATGTAGGATAGCGAACGAAATCTCAGTCTGCCTACGGACACGTACCAGAGCATGTAACTTTTCACGTACCGAATATCACGTGACACTCAACGTATCGAGTTGAATTTATTTAATTTTTGAATAATTTTTTGGCAACTATTAATGAATTTTATTGAATTTTTTCAAAAAATCAACTCTAGGAATTAGTAAAATTCATTTAAAAAAAGTTTCACCGAATTCTATTGAGTAGTTGATGAGATTTTCGTTCAAAGTTTCTACACATTCTAAGAAAATAGCCGCGGCAATAATTTTCTAAAATTAATCAAAAATTTCTCGACAACTATCTGATAGAATTCAATTGAATTTTTTTAAAATTAATTCTATAAAATAACATAATTCATTTAAAAAAGTTTAATCAAATTTTGTTGAGTAGTTGTCGAGAAAAGTTTAGGAAAAAATTTACCGCTGCTACTTAGGAGACGGCAGACATTTTCCCAAACCTCGAACGAAAAAATGAATTTTGCTATTTTATAAAATTGTCTTTAAAAATTTTCAATGAATTCTATAAGGCAGTTGACAAGAAATTTTCGTTCAAAGGTTAGAAAATTTCTGTCGCGTTATTAGAAATTAAAGAAAATTTTCCCAAACTTTGAACGAAATTTTCACGACAACTACTCAATAGAATTGGACGAAATTTTTTTTAAATTTATTCTACTATTCATAGAATTGATTTTAAAAAAATTTCTATCGAATTATTTTAGATAGTTGTCAAGAAAAGTTTATGTAAAAATTAAGAAAAATTCAAATTCAATAGCTTACGTACGTGGTGTCACGTGATATTCGGTACGTGCAAAAATCATGTGCTCTGGTATGTACGTTCTATTTGACCCATACGCCAAGACGGCTCAGAGTGGTAAACTAAAGTAAAGGATCTTGGACATACTTTATGAGAATCACTTAGAATTGGGATGAAACTCTAGATTCCTACTATAATTGAAGCATTAAAACAGGTAATTTATTAGAAGAGGTCAGTCATGAGAATTCTCTTTATTGGGAGAAGAGCTCAAAGGGCATACATCTTCTACTCTAACATTGGGGAAACTAAAATTTATATACATGTGTAAGTATCATTGAAGAGATATTGTATAATCTTCCTAAATGACACTGTTCTCCAACAACACAATCATCTACCCGAACATTATTAACCCGTCAGAATTAAGGTAATTACAATACTAATTAATAAATAACTAAATCTAACAATCTAACAATTAACACATAATATTGACTGCCAATTTAGGAAACCTATAAATTCCAACCAACGTTTCCTAAAAAGTCTAAGACTAATGTTATGATCGTAACAACGGTCGCAAATCTATACCATTCGATTCATATGATTTTTATCACGGGACCATAAGCAATCCCGATTCGTCATAATACCCCAGGGTTAAAATTTTCTTATTTTTTAAAAAGATTTCAAACTTTAAGTATTTCATGATATAGTGATCAAAATCGAATGAATTTGGTATCATTCAACTCGGCTCGATTGAGACGAATTAGATGATACCAAAATTGCTCATTATACGATCGAAAATATTTAACTTCATCATAATACATTCCTTGTATCAGTTGGACACTTTAAGAAAAGTAGACTAAGATTATACAATTATATGATTATAATTTAATTAAAGCATAATATTTAATTAATTCAAATATTATTGATAAAGCTAAAATAAAAAATAAAAATTTAAATCTTTTCAAAGCATTATTAAAATAAAATTATTATATATATATAGCTTTAGATATTCTCTAAAAAAAAAGGGGCAATATAAGTTTAAAGTGTAATGGCTAAAAAGATACAGATCGTTGTGAGCGTGGGAACTAATCCAGAATCGGGAAATATGTGTGATACGGATATCAATCAACATTAAAACTAATCTAAACAATACTCTAAACTGCAAAACTCTACCGAACCCTAATATGGCAGGCTACGAAAGAGGCGTGGTAAGACTTGGTCCGAGTTATTAGGGCCAAATAGAGCTTTTGATTGCGTCACGAGAATATAATTCGGGGTCACGGGTTTAGACTACTAACTTTATGCGATTTTGACTTATCGGGGGGAGTAATTGGACCGAAACTTTGAAGTCAGAATACTAGACTCTCCATGAGTCGAACTCTCATGAGTTTTACCAACTTTACTGAGTTATCTTTTATTCAAACAAAAAGATAGGTCTTAAATACTTTTAGACCAATGCTGCGTACATAGCGGCTGTGCTTTACTTATTTTTACTATCTTACTCTAATTTCTAGTTTTCTAATTATAAATTCGAACACGAACCAAATTGTATCTAGAAGAGGATACAGATTCGAATTGGCTTAGATGGGGACAAATTGTCTCTAGAGACAATTTGTCCCTCTTCTAATTTTAGCAGTGTCGATCTTTCCTGCTTTTTCCGTACTTAGGTTATATAGTACTGATAGATAAATAACACTAATAACATATCCATAATAAAATAATAATAATAGAAATAATGAAGTTCTTTTTTATAGTCGCATTTAGGCGAAAAAAAAATTCTTATCTAAGTTGAATTGAGATTGACCATCATAAAACATTTACATATTTTCAAAGACTTGATAATTTGTGAAGTCTTAGTGGAATGAACTTTCTTGAAGATTATTATAGAAATAGAATTAAAACCATAAATGACTCAAGAAAAACTAGTTTTTGATATTGATTTACGTAGTTGCTCTTTAGTATAACTGGGTAATATAGAATTATTATATGATTATAATATAAATAAATAACTATTTGACCTAATTTAAGATTAGATTAGGGTTAGGGTTAGGGTTAGGGTTTTTTATATTATAATCTTATAATATTTCTATATTGCCTAGCTATACTAAAGAAGATCCTATGAATTCTTTATGTTCATCCTTTTTAGCTCCAATTTCATTTTGATAACAATATCCAATAATAACTCTGTAAACTTTTGATAATAGATGAATTTCTTATATTATCTTTTTTAGCTTCAATTCTATTTTGATAATAATATCTAACAGTATTTAGTTTCAAACAATATCTCTGTTTGATAATAGATAAATTCCTTATATCATTCTTTTCAGCTTTAATTTATTTTGATAATAATGTCTAACTATATTCAATTCCTCTGCGCACTTTCAATAATAGATAAATTTCTTATGTTCTCTTTCTTAGTACCAATTCTATTTCGAAAATAATCTCCAGCAGTACCTACAGACTTCTGATAATAGATGAATTTCTTTATTCATCCTTTTTAGCTCCAATTCTATTTTGATAATCTCATTCAATGATATCCTGCAGACTTTTGATAATAGATGATTATATTATTCCATTTTGATAATAATGTTCAATTGTACAGAGACTTTATTTATTATTTTAGCTTTAATTTATTTCAATAACAATATCCGCAGACTTCTGATAATAAATAAATTATCAATTCAATAATATCTAAAAACTTTGATAATCGATGAATTTCTTATGTTTATCACTTTCAACTTCAATTTTACCTTGATTTGATAACAACTACTAATGTGCAATTTTTGATAGTAAATGATTGCTAATGTTTATACTTTCAATTTCAGATCCATTAAGATAACAGCTTTCAATATTATATAGTCTTTGTCTAAATTAGACCAGTATGAATTAGATCTTAAATTCCAGAGGTTGAAATACTATGTTTATGTTAGGTAAGAGTTTAGAATATAGTATTATAATAATGCTTTACTAGAGTTGTATATATATTATGGTAAGAGTATAGTAAATTGTATTTAATCTAGTATAAATATCATTTTGTATCACATATTTGTACTAAGAACTGTGAGACTAATAAAAGTTCAGGACTTAATATTCATTTAAGAGAATATTAAGCTTAGTTCTGAAAGATTTTATAGTATTACAATCAAATTATCACCAATTAATTTTCAGGATGTGCTAAAACTATGTTTTAAATTTTTATTATCAAAAATATAACTTTACTCCAGGCAATAATATAAACAAAGATTTTGTACTATATAACTAGACAAGATCTACATATTTATCATTTTACAATATGCTGATATGTATTATAATATAAATTATTTTAACTAATCAAATAGTATTTATTGTTAATATATGATTTGTGTTTACATACTAGTATACAAATAGAAATTCTCTTTTTAATAAAGCTATTAAATTTTATAATTATATAATATTAATTAATTATTAATAATTAGTAAGTTTTTGTATATAACTACACTAGGATGTAGGATCGATTTTATTGTTACATGATTTCTGACATCTATCAGCCAATTAAAATTCAGAATCATGTGTAATATAAAAACATCAAAACAAATATTTGTTTTACAAAAAACACATTTATCTTGAAATTTAGTCTAGTAAACTATATTTGAAGCTCTAATAAAAAAAATTACTTGTACAATTTTACTATATAACTGTTTTTCTAGTCCTCCCAAACTCTAACCCAGGCATAATCAAAGGTTTTTAGATTTGACAATAATTGTTTTCTAACTATCATGTGACAATAAAATCAACCCTATGCCCTGGTGTTGCCTTTGTATATATTTAAATTTTAGTTTATAATTAATTTTAATCTAAGTGATTTTATCTAGATTATATTATCTAAGTCATAACCTGCTTTTAATCAGATAATTTATTAATTTTATTTATTTATTTATTTTATTTGAATTTCAAATTGCTAATTATTTACTTTTCTTTTTTTTACATATAGCATATTTTCACTTCTAACTATCAAAGTTTGCTTATACTTATGAATAATTTTCACTATACTTTGCTATTTTTTTACTTTAACACTAAGGATCAGTATCTTTACCACTTTCTTATTTTGATATTGAGAATATGTCAAATGTGCCATCATCATCCTATTTTGGTATCTATAATTACAACCTACTAGCAGCTATATTATCTCTTTCTCATTTTAATACTGACAAACATGATATTAATATTGAACACGATATTAATATCGAACATGATACTAATGTCAAACACAATATTAGCATTGAACATGATATTAACATCAAATATAATATTGCAAATGCTTTATTATCAACTTCCTTTAACACTAATACTACAAATTCTTTGTTGTTATAATGTTTTAACATCTATAATAGCAATACAAATATTTGGTTGATATTTGACTATAAATATAATCAAAATCCAACAAGTTTGATATCTCATTTTAGTACTAATGATTTTAATGGTATATTTGTTGAATCAGATATTGAAACTCAACCAGAAGATGCAGATAATGAATATAATGAAGAGGAGAGTAATGAGTATAATAATAAAGGCAGTGATTTATTAGTACTAAATAAAAAAATAGATTTTGGAACATGGAAACTTGCTGAATTATACTTTAATGATTACGCAAAACAGGAAGAGTTCAGTCTTCACCTGAGAAGATACACCACAAATTCTAAAGACAATACTATTACAAGAAGATAAACATACAAATATTCATATGCAAGAATACATGAATCTAAAAAAGTTATCTTGGCAGAAAATAGAAGAAATAGAAATTCTCAAATAATTAGATATTTGTGGCATATCAATTTGGCTTTTTCTAAGAAAGCAAAAAGCATTCAAGTTAATAGCATTGTAGGTAAATACAATCATAATATGAATTTTCAGGTTGCAGAAATGGCACCTAAGTATTAGAAATTAACTTACAAAATGCTTGATAATATTAAGTTTTAGACTATCAATGAGAAACTAAACCTAACAACACAATACAATTTATTAGTCACATCGTTTCCAAGAAAAGTAATCAACAAAAAAAATCTAAGCAATGCAATTCAATGGTTTAAAGGTCAAGCTAAGTCTAGTAAAAATAATATGTATAATATGCTCATTAACCTATTTTAAAAAAGGAAAAAGATCCTATGTGGATTGTAAAACCACATTTTGACTTTGAAAAAAGATGATTTAATTCTTTATTCTGGATAGCTCCTAATCAAATTCATGCTTATGAATATTATTATAATATTGTAATAGTTAATACAATGTCAAAAACTAATTATTTGATATAATATTGATGTTAGTTATAGTTATTGACAATAATTTTAAGAACTTGATAGTAGCATTAGCAATTTTAAAAGATAAAACTGAATCAACTTTCACTTGAGTTCTTCAGCAGTTAAAAAGTTTATATGAAATCATATCTACAGTGTTATATTCTGATACAGATTCTGCTTTACTATTGGTTATATAAAGAAATTATCCAGACATGCACCATTTGCATTATATATTCTACATTGACTTAAATCTAAGAAAAAAGCTTAAAGTAATGTTAAATAAACAATTTAAACCTTTTCATACTGAATTTCTGGAGATGCGCAATTCTCTATGTCATAAAAAATTTGAGATTAAGTAGAAAAAACTTGTTAATAAATACCCTGAATGTAAAAATTACCTTGTAAATGTTTTATATTTTTGTAAAACCAGCTGGGTGAGTTATGCTATAAACAGATACTTTACTGCTGGGGCTCAAAGTACCCAAAGAGTTGAATAACTAACAAAATTATTAAAAAGAGACTAAACAGAACTTTATGATTAACTGAAGTTGTTGATGAGATTCAATCATTGTTTAATCAACAATTTAAAAGAGTGATATTAACTAAATGCAAAAATGAAATTTTAACAAAAGGAATACCAACTATAATAGATGAATACTTCCCTGATTTAGATAAAATCTTAAAAGAATACTTTATATTTCAAATACTTCAAAAACAGCACGATCAAATGACACATTCAATATGCTATGATTAGAGATGTGCTATATATATTATACAGGTAATGTTACATGCTATATAATGCTGCATAATGTGATGCAAGTTGCTAAATTTTAAAAATACACATAGAAGCTATTATTTAATTTGATCTATATCATTTCAACAACAATCACTTTATAGACACTTGTCTTTATGTAATTAATAGCCTGTAAAATCCACTAAAAAATTAATCTACAAGGTCTTTTCTACTATATAAATCAAATATTTTATATTTTTAAATCTGATAACCTCTTACTATATATAGGTTTTGAGAGTTTCATAGTATATTATACAGAATTGCATAATGCATTATGTGACATAATGTTGCATTATGTGATGTAAAGCTGAAAAAGCTTGCATTTGCACATCTTTAGCTATGATGCAGTGCTAGTTGATAACTGGCCATTGCTTCTAAAAATATATACTTCAGGTTATTATTAAACTAAAAACTCCCAAACTAATTATTACTTTTTTTTTTTTGTATTAGACAATAGATGATTCTTACCAAGAAGAAATTGCATAAGAAGATGACTATAATCAGTCTCAGTCTTTATTTTCTTTTTTGCTTGAAGATATATCTCATAATTATGTTTAAGAGGTTTGAAAAATAATTAGATATCGAAGACAATAATCAAATCCACAATATGTTATTATACTTTTTTTTTATATTGCCAACGTAGAAACTTTTTATTTTTATTTAAAGGCTTTTCTCTAACATATATACAGTTTCTAATTACATTTGTGCTACTATTACTAGTCACCC